CTTTTAGATGTAATAATAGGAGGAGGTGGCCATTTGAGTTCTCCATTTAATGTAACTAATGATTATCTAACAACATCATCATTCAAATCAACTTAAGTAATATTTCCATTAGGATCTTTGATAGTTCCTACAATATACTACATTAATTTTCCAATATTATTAGCATAAAGAGTTGAACTTTAAGTAGGTAATCTACTTGGTAAATCTGTATAACCAATGATTTTAACTTTTCCTTAATGATTATATAATTCTCCTGGTTTACATAATTCACAATTTCCTCCAGTTTCAGCAGCTAAATCAACAATGATTGATCCTTATTTCATATTTTCAACTAATTCTTTTGATAATAATTTAGGTGCTGGTCTTCCTGGAATAAGTGCAGTAGTAATAATAATATCAACTTCTTTGGCTTACTTTAAGAATAAAGCTAATTCTGCTTCTAAATATTCTTTTCCCATTTCTTTAGCATAACCACCGATACCTGCTCCATCAACAACTTCTCCATTAATTTTGACTTCTAAGAATTCAGCTCCACAAGATTTTACTTATTCTTTAGTAGCTAATCTTGTATCAAATGCTCTTACAATAGCTCCCATATTTTTAGCAGTTACAATAGCTGATAAACCAGCAACACCTGCTCCTATAACTAATACTTTAGCAGGTGGTACTTTTCCTGCTGCTGTCATTTAACCAGCAAAGAATCTACCAAATTCATTTGCTGCTAATACTACTGCTTTATATCCTGCAATATTTGCCATTGAACTTAATGCATCATATGTTTAAGCTCTTGTTATTCTAGGTACACATTCCATAGCAAATGTTGTTATTTTCTTCTCTTATAATTAATTAAGTAATTCTTTATTCTATGCTGGATATATAAAAGATGTCTAGATTTAATATAAATTAATATACAAGTGTTTAATTTTCTTTTAAAACTTTTGTATTTTCAGGAGGTCTAATTTTTAAGATCACATCAGATTAGTCATAAACTGCACTTGTATCAACTACTTTGGCACCAACTTCTGAATATACATTATCTGCAAAATTGGCCTTTAAACCTGCCCCTGTCTCTATTAGAACCTATTATCTTATAATTTATATTTACTTGATGACCATCTTTAACTAAATTTTTTATTGATTCAGGTGTTGCAGCTACTCTATTTTCATTAGGAAATGTTTCCTTTGGAACACCAAATACAAATTTTGGATGACTTGGTTTCTTTTCAGCTTTACTTGAAAAACATGTTCGTGCATTCAAAAGCAATTATCTTGTAGCTTAACGATGAAATGAAAGCATTGAAAAATATCTTTTTTTATAAAAATATTTTCCTATATATACAAATTAATTTATAGGAAATCTTGGTAATATAAATTAATTCAAATATAGTTATGAGAACTGCAAATTCAAATTAGGGATAATCATCTCTTCCTGATAGTAATGAAATCAATGAATACATTAAGGAGTACTTAAGATATTCTAATTATTCTAATTCCTTGGAATGTTTTGAAGCTGAAATTAAGAGTAAATAGGTTTCCAATAAAGTACTTAATTAATTTTAATCTAGATGTTAAATAAACAATAAGTTATTAAACAAACTGGTGATGATTTACCACGTATATTTTAATTGTTAAAAAGTGATAATAATAAAACAAAAAGAGAGATAAATTTAGAAAAAGAATAAAAGTAATTTAACAAAAAATACTAATAAATTTTATAAGCAGGGAGATAAATATTTTCAGTAAGCATTAATCTATTGTAATTATTGCATTCATTAAAGGAAACAGCTAAAAATGAAAATCTTAGTGAAACTTTAGAGAATTATAAAATTTAGCTTGGAAAATATCACAAAGTAATAATTAATGAAGGCAAGCCAGAAGGATCTGAATTGATTACTGAGTAGGTCATGCATGAGCATAAAACTAAACTATTTAAGAATTATTAAGACAAAAATGTAGATGGAATGATTGAAGTCTTACTCTCCTTAAGAGTAAACGCTTTATAAATTGCACCAGAATTAAGAAAAAATCTTGTCTATGAGTTAATCAGGAATGATGTTTTTAATATAGAAGCCACAGATAAATTTGATTTTGTAGTTCATTTATTGGATATAAACAACTAAAGTCTTAGACATGCAATTACTAGCTTAATTAGTGTAATCAGCAGTACATTAAGAGGTGTTGAATATTTAACTTATAATGGTAATATGATTATAATTGAAAAAATAATTAAAATATTAAAGGAACAAGAAAACGGTTCTGTAACTTAAAGATTTTGTTTGGCAATATTATAAAAGTCAAGTATTAAGGATACAGTGATTCCAACTTATGTACATAATGAAATGATTTAATGGATAATAAACTTAATATAAAAGTCAGTAAATAGTAAGATTCATATATTTTGTCTTGATTTTGCTTCTGCTACATTGGCTAATATTATTCATACTCCCTATACATTATAATATTTGGGACATTAACCTAGATTTGCTCATTAAGTAATGGAATAATTATTAAAATTCATAAAAGATTAAATTTAAGTATCAGTTTTAATGCATGTTTTGATTTGCTTATCTTATTTAAGTAAAGAGAATTTTGCTTAATAAATGGAAGAATGTAGATTTGTAGATAGAATAAGCGAATTTGTTGAATATTACAGTGTTATAAATACAGGTATGTGTATAATATATAATAAAAAAAGAAAATGAAGCAGCAGAAATTGATAAAAAAACAGTTTTAGACTTATGTGCTCATATGTTTCATCCAAAAGACACTTCACTCGATAATTCTGAAACTCTGGAATTGAATGAATTAAAAACAGAAGATAGGATAAGAGAATATGAAAATGAATAAGGGGAATTAATATTCGAATGTTTCCAAGATGAAGTAAGTTGAATATTTATATTTATGTTTTGTTGATTATTCATTGAATAATTAAATTTATTATTTTATAATATCTCATACTATTTACACGATATCTTTAATCAATTACATTATTATAATTTTAACAATATAAATTACATTTGTATAATATAGTATTGAAAATCAATTTTCATTATTTTGAATATATTAAAAATGAATAATGCTAATTTTTTCACTAATTATTTTTTTTCAGATTTGTATCCATCATGAACTTTCCAGAAATACAAAAGGAAGAAAGGTCGATGTAATAAGTGATGCTATAGACAAATAAAATCAAAAAGAGGAAACCTATTGATCCTGATACTAAAACAAATCTGATACTTAGTGTTGTTAAAGATCATTTACCAATTTATTAAGTATTAATCTTTCTATAAATGACTAGGCAGCTATAATCCATAAAGTTAAATATTCATCTGCCAAACATATATTAAGAAATTACTACAGTGATACTGCTAATTATTTCTCAGCTCAAAAGAAGAGAAGAAGAAAGATTATATGCGGTGGAGCCACAATCTTAGTTAATTCTAAAAGTGGAAATATCATTTTATATTCATAATAAAGTTAACCAATTCCATTTTTAAAAAATGGTGTCAATGTCCAAATTAAATCAAAAGTTCTTGATAACCTTTGCTTATCTATCAATTAAGAATTCACTACCAGAAAAAGTTAACAGTTATTAATGTAATATAATTTTGAGACCATTCTTTAAGATATTTAATCAGAAAAATTAGAAGACAAACTCAAATCTGTTTTTAGGACACTTAAAAAATAACACAAGGAAATGGTTTCATGATATCAATTACATACCTTTATTATATATGTTCTATTTAAATATTTTAGATTTCAAATTAAAATGATTGGATTTTGATTAAATAAAACAAGATTTTTTATTATGACTATAAAAAAATGATTTGTCAAAAATACATTATAAAAATTAGCAATACTTAATTATAAATTAATGTTAAAATTTATATTAATCAAATTCACAAGCCCACCTTATTATTTTTAAGAATATGGCTAAGCTTTATTAACTAATATAATTAAATTATCGATCCAATTCTCATTTTATAAGAATAAATTAAAAATTCATAAATTAGGTTACTAATTTCATCTTGTCTAATTCAAACTAATATCTTCAAATCTAATAGGTTTCAACATAAGATTGTTAAGTACGAAGGAAATTTTCTAAGAATGTTTCCTAAATTATTCTTAAATTTAATAACTATGACTACTCTTAATAGAAATGAATTTAATATTAGTCAATAAAAAAATGTGAAAAATTTATCTTTGCATGTTAATTGAAAGCTTTTCACATCTTAATCATATCGCTAAAGACTTCGATATTTAAGTTAACAAAGTTAAAAAATGATTGAAATTTAAGTTTATTTTAGCATATTAATAAAAAATTTTATTTTTTTTCTATTCTACTCATTTGTTCATAAAAGGCTTATATTTACATAAAAGATTTATTTTGAAAAATTTTTAATTGATCAAGAATTCATGACTTAAAAATAAAAACAACTTTATAAAATATATTTGAATTTTTTCATGAAAAATCTCATTATAATGAAATATAATTCAGAGAAAACTTAGTTTTCTAAATAAATTGTGCTATGCAAATCTAATGCAATCAGTATAATAATTTATAAAGGTTTTTTATTTATTGCCAAACCCCTTTTGATTGCATATTTTTAATAGTTCTTATCCTTAAATTTGATCTTCTCATTAATATTTTATGAATATCAATATCAAAGTTAATTGCATACAATAAATTTTACTCTAACTTTTTTATCTCAAAAAAAATTAAAAAATTAATTATGAATATAAAAGATTTTTTTGTTCTAAAATAAAAAATATTCAACTTAGAAAGGCTAACATATTATAAATTTTAAATCTGAGTTAAATTTTTGGTATATAATTAATACTATTATAATTTATTTTAGAATAAATATTTTTTTTTGATTAAGTTGAATAAGTAAATTTTGTTATTTTTACTTAATTAAATTTCTATCAAAATGAAATTTTAAGAATAACATCTGATGTTTTCATTTCAGATATTAAAACAATTTTCTATTAGTTCAATACTTAGTGATGTAGTTTCCTAAAATTTTTTAGCGTATTAGTAAATAGAGAGAAGATTGATTTAGTTAAAGAAATGGATAGATGAAATCAAAAAAAGTGTTATTCATCTTTAATCAAAAATATAATTATGATATAAACTTAGAAAAAAATTATTAAATAGGAAGAAATTATTAAAATCATTTTGCCAAAAAAGTCGAAAACAATAAAAAAGTATTTTGATTTTAAATATTATAAGAAAAATTTTTGAATAAAGCTAACGATAAATGAAAAAGATTAAATCAATAACTTTGAGTATTCATTATATTTTTTAATTTTATTGCTCTATTTTGACTATTTTTATTTAAAATCTAATTTTTTAGGAAAGAAAAATAAATTTTGTACTTCAATACTCTTGAAATGACATAAATTTAAATAAAAGTAATTTTAATAAATCTTTATAAAATTTATTGAATGAAACTTTCTAAAATGCTTATTAATATTATCATCTGCAGCCTAAAAAAAAAAAGAAATTATTAGCAATATATATATTATTAATAAATTTTATATGTCAATTCGTTAAGAGTAATATTGTCAAATTTTATCATAGGTCAGATCTTAGTTGTGAATTGCTGAGGTCCACATTATAGGATATTAATGTTAGACTAAATAATTTATAATCATGTGTTCCTAATCTTCAAAATAGAAGAGATAAAATATAGAAAGAAGAAACAATTCCTAGATTAAATTTACATAAAATAAATACAGTGTACAAAGAAAATTAATTACCATTAAAAAAAGTGACAGCAACATTTGGAGATAAAATAATTGATTAGGTTGAAAAAATAGATGAAAAAAATTTATAAGAAATATAAAAGAAACCTTAAATAAAAATGATGGTTTAGCAAACTCCATAAAAAATAAGAAGCCATTCAATAAATGGCTCATAAAAAATATTATAGAATTAAAATAATCATTCAATTTAATTTAAAGTATCCAATGTATCAAGATTATAAAATTCTAATGATTTTTAATACTATTAATCGTTGCATCAATCTCATGAGAAACCTTCGAAATCCTCATTTATTGGTAGTTAATACAGTTAAATAGCATAAAAAGATGACAGTGTTGAATATGTTCAACCAACTCTTATGCTAAAACCAATATTATTTTTATAATAGTAATAAAATATGCAGACTAGAAATAATTCATTAATATCTACGCCTGTTAAGCAGGTAGCAAATGTTTCATAAGGACAAACTCCATTAAGAAGGGGAAATTCATCTACAAATTAGAAATTGATATAAACAAATTTTACTTAGAATCAATCTTATTAATGTTTTTAAGTTTAACAATAGAAATAATAATTATAAAATTAAGATTTAATTAAGTAAATAATAAAAAATATATTAGAATATTATAAACTCATTCAAATTAATATGGATAATCTTAAATTTAATATCATTCAGATTAAAATCCTATGAATTAATTTTAGAATTCTTAAAACACATTTTAATTTAAAGTATCCCATCATAGAAATGCGTCAAATAACATAAGAACGCCAATAGGATAAACACTATATGAAAATTCAATGGTTAGATTATGATTATATAAATACTATTTATTATAGTTTCAAATGAATAATTTTCTTTTGGTATATTTTACATTTAGTTTGTTTAATATATGGTACGTTAATAAATATAAAGAATTTTAGAAAACGTTTAGTTTATTAGTTTACAAATCAAATAGTATGTATAATTTTCTAAATTAGAAGAGATTTAAAATTATCTGATTGGGTTCAAAGATATTATAGACAGAAATGAATCTTTTCTTGTTGAAAGTTTATTGTTGAATGACTTAAAGGGGATTTAGAAGTATAAAAGATTTTTAATAAGCCAAAGAAAATAATTTATTCTGGTTAATATCATAATTATTAAATATTTATTAAAAGTAAATATCCATTGTTTACATTAAAAAAAAAGTATCATAATTAAGACATGATTCGAAAGATTTAAAAATAATAGATGGTATTTTAATATATATTTTATTTTATGTAATTTCAAGTAATAAAATGTGATAAGTTTTGGTTAAATGTTAAAAGAATCTTAGATAAATTTTATTCAATCATATAACATTTATATTACATTAATATACGATAAATAAATTTAACATTTATCTGATCTTTTTTTAATTAACTATTTTTACAGAATTTCTGTTTTTGACAAATTTTATATTAGTTAATTTATTTTTGGTAATTGTTGAATAGTCAAATTTCAACCTTAAGATGATTAGTCCTTTACATTTCTTCTTATCCAAATTAGATTTAAGTTTTTGGGATAAATAATTAGTTACTGAACACCAAGGAATAATTTTTAGAATTCATCATTTTAATTATTAATAAGAGTTAAAATTTTTTTAAACATTTATGATTGTAGTTAATATAAATAAATATTTTCAAGAAATCAAAACTTTAATTATAAAGCATCTTTAAGAACCTAAGGAAAAATAGGTTTGAAAACAATCTAATCGATTCCAGCTTCTTAACAAAGTTATTTAGTTTCTTCATCCTCATGTGCTGTGCATGCAATAATCTATAATGGTATAATTTTTTCTTAATCCATTAAATTAGTTATGATTTAAGATGCTTATATACCATTCATGACTGGCATATCAATATCCATTAATATAGTTCGAATAAATTTTTATTGAGTTACTAAATCAACTACTTCTTATCCATTATAACAATGAATAATTTAATAATATCCGAGATTCTTAAGAATCATTTCTAATGTTATATGATTGAATGGTTCATCATCTACTATTATAATATTTCCAGTTTCTGCCACTAAATTTTAAGTACTTCTTTTTTAGACTAATTAGAAAGAAGGTATAGATTTATGACTTTTTGATTGTTGTCTGGAAAATGATTAAGATAAATTATTGATAGTCTTTAACATACTAGGTTTAATTCTATCAATTTTTCTTATTTTTCCAGCGATAACTTATTCATTGTTAATTTGATCAGATTATATAGTAAAGTATTCCTAAATTTAATTATTTGATCTTAGTGATTCATTTCTTCTTTATCTTGAGGCAGATTACAATTATTATGCACTAGGCAAATCTAAATCACAAATCGAAAATTCAAATTTACATCCTTATCCTGGACTACTCTCTATAATAAGTGGACATGCTCCATTAAGTTAATTAATTAATTTTGTAGTTATTTTTAAACTTATACCCAGAACTTCATTTTTAAGATTCATTGAAGAATAACTTATTCCTCTATCTAAAGATTGAGTTTACAGTATACTTTACTAAAATATATCAATTAATAACCTTTCTAGAACTCTATGTTTATTATTGATGAATCTGCATTTATTTATTTATTTCATCTTATGCTTGTTTACTCAATCCAACACCACTATCAGAAACAATAAATTTAATCATTCGAGAACTTGCAGTTTTAATTTCCTTAACATTTAATTCAATTTGACCACCTTTAGGAGTAAATCTATAAGCATTATTCAACAAATTAACTAAAATTCTCATTAACTTATTCAAGTCTGATTATATATAACAACTACTAAATAAAAACTAATAAATATTTATTTACATTTCTTTTTTATCAGTTTCAATTTAACTGATATCTTCATTATTGTATTTTATTGTAAATAATATACCTTTTAAACTACATTATGTCATTATTAAATCTTTAATTTCAAAAAGTAATTTATGAATATCAATACTTTTAATAGTCAAAATTTATTTTTGTTAAGAATATATAGACACATATTCAAGAATATCCTAAATAAGATATAATAAAATTTTAGAATTCCAGTAACAAGGTTTAATAAAAGTTTCAATCAAATCTTTAGAAAGACAAGAATTGTTAAGGCATGTTTCTAAATAAGTAATAACAGAGTTTAGAGGTGTTTTCAATTTATGACTTAATGAACTTATTAAACTATTTCTAAACTTATAATCTTTTTTAAAAGCACTATATATCGATATATCATTAATTAACTAATATTAAATAAATATTACTTAGAAAGTAAACAAATTTAATAATTATTTATTATGAATTATTTGTGTAAACTTTAAATGATACTTGAATTTTTCTAAATTCTACCCAAATAACTTGATTTTATAATAAATTGATTCATAATCTTATTATTAAATACCATTTTAAATTATTTATCTAATTGTTATATTTTGTTTATTAACAGTTTCATTAATGATGTATTCACATACTTTAATATCATCTAGAAATTAAATATTTGACCTTTAATTTTGATTGTGACATATCAGTCTTATACATTAAGAATTTTAAATTTCAGATCGATTAGCACTATTAATACCATTTTCTATAACTTAAGAAGGTTCAATCATTGCTTCTATAAAATCCATATATTAACTACGATAAATTAACTTTAAATCTTAATCATAAGCAAGAATTCCTAAATTTAATTTAGAAATAATATCACTCAGAAATTATAATTGTTAATTTTTCTCTTCATATAGAGATTTATAATTCTAAATCAGTTTATGCTCTGTAATTTGAATAGCAAAATCGTTTAACAGAGCTATTATCAAGAAAAATAATTAAAACAATAATGACTCTTTGTTCTTTTCAAGTTTTTGTGGTATTAATAATTATTGAATTAAAAATCCACAATACAAAAAAGGTAATACGATTTTTAAAAAATGCCATCTTAGAGTTCCTTAAAATAAGTGAAAGAGGATTGATATATAAAAATACCCAAAATAATTATTTGTTTAATGATTATTAAAAGCTTCATAGAAACACTTAGCAATAAAAAAAACTATAAAAGCAATATCCATAATAAGCATTTTATATTCTTGTTTTTTTTAAAAGTGATATGTAATGAAAATAAACAGAGCTAATTGAATTTCATCAAATTATTACCTAAAAGTATGAGATGCATGCTTAGGTTAAACCAAAAGGTTTGAAAAGTAATAAAATCGTATTGAAAAGTGACAATAAATAGAAATATAAGATCAGATGTACATGTTATTATTAAAGCTAGATATCTAAAACCGATTATATTTTAGGCCCTAAACATATATATTTTTTTCGTAATTATTAATATTTTTAGAAAGATCATAATTTTCAAATCCTTATTCTTAATCCTATCCAGTAATTATTCTTATCTCTCTAAAAAATCTTTCAGGCAATAATTAATAATTCTTTTTTAAAAGTGGTTAAATTATTTGATATTCAAGATTAGCCTAGAAAGAAGGAATTATAATAAGATTGTTTTTGAAGAGAGATATCAATAAATTTGATATCTTTAATTAAAATATAATTTTAATATGATATATAATTTTCATATATCAATTACTTTTTCTTCTTACCCATAAAAAAGGTAATACTTAATTTGGATCTTTCAAACAAATTTAGTAGCTTTTTTCTCTATTAGGAATTTAGTAATGAGCTGCTTTATTAGCTTTACAACAAATAATAATCAAAGATGAGTGATTCACAAACTTTTCAATCAAAACATCATAATTTAAATAAAATAATAACTTTTTTGAAAATTCATTATGGTATTCTTTATCTGGTTTTTAAATGATGTAAAGTGTAATTGTTTATTATGCAATTTTATTAAAATATTTAACATAATCTTAATCTACTTTTGGTTAAAAATATTCGAATTTATGATTTTTAAAATTTTATGAAAGATGTTGTACTAACTTTTCCTCCATTGGAGGCACTATGGGTATTTAATTTTACTAAAATTCAACTAATAAACATTGTTTATCGAAAGTAGTTTAAGCATCATTATTAAAAGATAATGAAGTTATATTCATTTGATTTGATAAACTATTGCTTAATTATGATTTACTATATTCAGAAGAATCATCAAGAGAGTCTTCAGGTATTTATTATTATTGAACTTGTTTTTAAAATATTTATTAGTTTTATTATGAATAATTTTTTTATTATTAGAAGGATAATTATTAAGGTACTATAAAATTTGTGTTCTTACTATCTTCATTTTAGAGCACAAAATTATTTAATTATTATTATACTTGTTTTTAAGGTATGTTGATTTCATTTTATATAGATTTCTTTTACTAATCCTTTTTAGTAGATTCACTAATGTAAATGCTATTAATATGGCTTTTTTATTAAGAATCTTCAAAAAGTTCATAATAGCTTTAAAAGAAGGACTTGCTTTAAAATGATGATTCATTTTTTATTTCGGACATATTTCCAAAATAAATATCATATTTATCAAGATCTTAAAAATTCTTCTATTCATCTTCGTCTTGCATTTTATTTATTAAAATTGATAATATTTAAACTAAAATTATGTTAATAATTACATGCTTAAGAAGGTTTTTTAGACTTGATTATCCATCTAACTTTTTAATCATCAACCTCAAAACCTTTTTTTTCGAAATCTACTTTTAATTATTTTTTAGATTAATTAATTTGTATGATATTATGATAAATGCAAAACTATCCAATATATATACTAAATTCAATATTTTCTTATGCTTTTTCATTAAATTATAATTAGATTAAATTATCATATACCTCTTTGAATTATTTTTTATTTGCCAAAATTGTAATAAAATAATCAGAGTATTATTATTTAAAAGTAACATAAATTTATCTGCTTTATATAATATTTTAAAATATAATTTTACCTGCTTCTTAATCTGTCTTTATTTCAAAAAAGTATAAAGGTGAAATCATTTAAAATATATCATCCTATAATTTATTAGAAGCATCTTCCATCTGTTCTTAGTTAGAAAAATTTTATAATTTTTAAAAATTTAAATGAAATATACAATAGGCACTTATTTCTTAATCTTCCTTAAATTCAATATCCATAATTTATAAATTTTTCTATAAAAAATCTTTCAAAACATGTTTCATATATCCAGTTCTAGCCTAGACCAATTAATAATTTTCAGGTTTTTCTTCCTAACTTTGAGATTTTAAACTATTCATAGTTATAATAAATCCTTAATAATATTAAAAATTTTATGTAACATTTTAGATTGACTCTAAATTTCTAGAAATTAAAAGCAATCCGTCAGATTCTACTCTATAATAAACATTTTTTTTTTATAATTCAATTTTTTTGAAACTACTTAGTTCAAAAATTCTCAAAATTTATTCATTCAAAATGACTTTCTATGATACAAACTTAGAAAAATAATCTTCAAATTATTTTATAATTTAATTATTTTGACAAGAAAGTTAATATTTTCCTTCATCTATTTTAATAAATGAAATTTAAGAGTTTTTTTATACTAATTTTTCCTAAAAATCTTAATAAAGATATTCTTGTATAATGCTATCTAATATTTTCGGCTAAATTATTAACAATATTTTACTTTCAATTCAATAATTCTCTATAGGGCAAAATTTATTACATTATTAGGAACTAAATCTAGTGAAACTGTCCATTTTTCGTTTTTTCCTTTTTAATAACCCTGTGAAGAAAGAGAAAATAATCCATTATCTAATCTATTAAGTTAATTTTTATGAGGATTCTAATTAAATTTATGATAAATTGACTAGATCTTTTCTTTATTCGTATTTTATTATCTAATTGTACATATCATCTCAAGAGTTTACACTATATAATTTTAATATTTTACATAAATAATAAAAATTAATGTTATCAGGATTATTATATTTCAAATCTTAAGCATGACTTTAATCATTTTTAAATCCAACATCATTTAAAATTCTATTTATTGATTCTAAATCAAAAAATTTAATTTATCCTGAAAATTATTAAACAAGATTTGATTTATTAATGAATAAAGTCGTTTAAGTAAAATAAGTTTTCATTGTTTCACGTTCCTAAATTATATTTTTAAATAAAGAGATAAGTTCTTCTGTATTTCCAAACAAATAGTATGATTTTTCTTTTTTTAAGTAAATAATTTTGCATTAACCATCCTATAATTTCTCTTTGAAACATTAATCAATAAAATTTTCATCTTTTTAATTTAGTTATAATTCAAACTTCAATAAAAATGGACTTTTTAAGCAAGATTGAATATATTTTTTAATTTATTTTTCCATTAATTCTCTATTTTACAACACATGACTAAAATTCATTTCTAGAAAAAAATATTAATTATTAAAAAACTAGTTCATACAATATTATTTAAATTCTAAAGCTAATATTTTTTCATAATATTGAGATCTACATAATTCAAGATCAGAACTTGAATAACTTTGTTATTGAAAGGGTCTTAGAGTTGAAAAATATAAGAAAATTCCTCTATAATTATTATTTATTTGTTGAGAGATTTCTTAAAGTTGATGTATATTTTGTGTAATTGAAACTAAAAAGAAGGAATCATAAAAATAAAAAGGATATATTTAATAGGATTTCAAAAATTCATTTATTTTTGAAGAAGCTATCATAGTATAATTGGTATAATAACAAAATTCAATGTCGATATAAGATATTTTATTGATAAACTCTTAAATTTCTTTTTAGATTTTATCAATATCTTGATTTAATTTTAGTTTATAAAGATTAAATTTCTTTTGTTCTAAATTAAATTAGTTGATAAATTGATTCCATTCCTATAAAAATAGTTTTTCAATCATTTTTAAAATAAATTAATTTTTAAGTTAAATCGTAGAAGCAGTTCCCAATCCAAGAATCTTTATCTCGGACTCAATTACATCTTATTTTGCTACTTCACTATGAAATTCTAATATTTTATTTTCTTCAGAGTTTATTTATTTTAAAATGTCACTTGGTAATTAAGATCTTTGTAATTAATATTCATTTTAAGTATTATTCAAATAATTTAATTCATCTTGAGGAAAACATTATACTTGATTGATAGATTAAAGATTTTCATTTTCAGATTCATCACTTGAACTTTTACTTTCTTGATCTCTTAAACTATCATCATCTTAATATTCATAAACAACAGGGTTAAAAGATTATATTTCTTCTTATATTTGCCTTTAAGTTGATTGATTTACAAAAGGTTTAGATTAATCACTGTTTATTGTCTCATCATTAGTTTTTATTTAAAAAGTTTATCTTGAATCATCACTCTTCGTTTTTAAATGTAAATCTGTTGAAGATTATAATTAGCCTTTATTGCATTTGAATTTCAACTTAAAATCTGGAAAGTTTTCTTTCAAAGTTTAATATGTTTATCTAAAAATATTAAATTTTTTTTGTTATGCTTGATCTTTGAAACAAAATTCTCCTCTTGTTAATTCTCCATTAAGCTTAAGAAAATTAATTAATTAATTTATCTGTTCTTAATTTTATATCTCAAAGATATTGGAATTAATGGTAAGGCTCATTTATAAAAAAAAAATATTATTAATACATTGTACAAAATTTAATTTATTAATTACCATTTTAATATTTAGATAACTAGTATAAAATGAGAAATATATACAAATATATGGTGATGTATTATTATTTATATTATGTCTTGAAAATAATGATACTTAATTTTAAATTAGTGACTTAAGCATAATAGAGAAAATCAGAATTAAATATTTAATATTTTTGGACTTAATAAAAGCTTTAAAATAAAATAAATGCATAACAAGTTTATTTTGCGAGATAATTCGATGTTAATGAAATTATTTTAAATTTTATCAAGATGGAAATTGAAGCTAAGATTTTTTATAGAAAAATTAAATTATTGGTAAAATTTACTGCTGTTTATCGAATTAATTAGACATATAAAAATTAAAATAAATATTAGGATGGGTTGTTGTTAAGGAAATCCATATGGTTTGAACTATAACAATATTTTTAGATATGAACTAATAGAATGAATCAGTAAAAGAATTGACTGAGTATTAATAACCAGAATATAAAGCAAATATTGTGGATTTGAATATTTAAGTGAAAAAAGTGGAACAGATATAAGAGATAAATGGAGAAGGAGAACTAATACAAAAAAAAGAAACTAATTATTCTTAGGAAATAAAATTTGGAAAAAAGGAAGAGAATTAAGAAACAAGAAGTTTAGTTTAAGAATAAGGAAAAGAGAAATAATGGACAATAAAATAGACAATGTTTGTTAGAATAAATTCTAAGAAAAATGTCAGTGAATTTTATACATTAAAACAAATGATAGGACAAGGAGGATTTGGGAAAGTTTATAAAGTAGTTCATAGATAAACAGGTTTTAATTTTAGATATAAAGAATAGGCATGATTAGAGCAATGAAACTAATATTAAAATCAAAATTAAAGAAAGAAGATTAAGAAAAGTTATTGGAAGAAACTAGTATATTGATGGATATAGATCATCCAAATATTGTGAAGTTATATGAAATGTATTAAGATGATAATTCATATTTCTTAATAAGTGAATATTGTGATGGTAAAAAATAAAATAATGTGTTATGTAAGGTGGTGAACTATTCGAAAAAATAAAAGTGGTTTAAATTTTGACAGAGAAAGAAATAGCATCTTATATGAAATAAATATTATCAGCAGTTTCATATTGTCATTCAAAAGGAATAGTTCATAGAGATTTAAAACCAGAAAATATTTTATTTGATTCTAAAAGTTAAGGAGCAACATTAAAAATAATAGATTTTGGTGCAAGTGCAAAACTAGTGAATGATGAAAAATTAAATAAAAGAATAGGGACAGTATTTATAATTAATTTATTATAATAGCCATTTTATGTTGCGCCAGAGGTTTTAAATGGAAGTTATGATGAGAAATGTGATATATGGTCATTGGGAGTACTGCTTTATATATTACTTTGTGGATATCCTCCATTTTTTGGACATAGTGAAGGAGAAGTATTAGCAAAAGTGAGAAAAGGTACATATCAATTTGATAGTAATGATTGGTCTAAAGTTTCTATGCAAGCTAAAGATTTAATTAGACGAATGTTATTTTATGATCCAGCATCTAGAATAGGAGCTTCTGATGCTTAATAGCATGCTTGGATTTCTAATAATAAAACTTAAGGTTATGTCAATAATTTAAGTTTAAAAAGATTATAAGATTTTGATTCAAAAAATAAATTAAAATATGCCATCCTTTAATTTATTACTGTATAAGTAGTATCAAGTTAAGAAAAAGATGATTTATAAAAAATATTTCAAGAGATTGATAAAAATGGTGATGGTACTGTTAGTAAAGAAGAATTACTAGCTGGTATATTTTATTATTACTTTTAGCTTATATTAAAATTTATAAAGGAGATATTATTGCAGCATAGCATATTGTTGAAGAATTATTCCCTTAACTTGATGCAAATAAATCTGGAAAAGTTGATTTTAGTGAATTTGTTACAGCCTCAATTAATAGAGATAAAACATTAAGCAAAAAAAAAATTGAATAATCATTTAAATTATTTGACCTAGATGGCAATGGATATATTACTAAATAAGAAATCAATGAATTATTTGGAAATGAAATAGATGAAAAAATGTGGGAAGATATTCTGAAAGATTGCGATATTAATAAAGATGGGATGGTTTTTATTTCTTTATTAATTTAGATCTCACTTAATGAATTTATTACTTTGTTAGAATCCAAAATTAAAATCAATTCAAAACTATAATGAATATACTATATCATAATTTATGATTATTAATTGTATCTATCATTATTTTATAATTTATCAATATTTCATTATTATACAAGTTATTAAATTTGAATTATAACAAAAAAAAAATTTGAAATTCTAAATTTATAATTATTTCAATCATTATTTTATTTTAACATTTAGCGAGAATCTATTTCTATCATTCTTTACTTAAAGATGTATCAGAAACTTCGGTATTATGAATTATATAGGTTTCAATTACAATATCTGTATTATCCTATTTATTTTCAGAATTTTGTATTATCGTTTTCTTTGGCCAAAATATTATTAAAGCAGCAAAATAAGGTAGAAAGAATGATAATAATTTCTCTGAAAGCTCAAGAGTAGTATTTAAAACATTAGTCAAATTCGGATTGTCTTCAATCTAATTTTACATAATAAGATTTACTTTAACATAATAACATGTATATCTTTCAGGATTATTTCTCAATATTTCATTCATTAAAACAAAATAAATATTTTAAACAAAACTAACAAATGATCCTAATATGTTTATTATAACCAAAATCCTAATTTGCTTATTATTATATATATATACCAAATTTAACTCAATCTTCTTTTAATAACTTTAACAATTTTTCCAGTCTCATCATTTTCGTTTTACATATTCTATATATTTTTATTTATCTATCTTGTAAATTATCTTATTTGCAACAAGAATAATCCTTAAAGTAAAAAGCTCACAGTTGTTATTACATTAAAAAACTAAGCTATTAGCTACCATATATTAATAACCTTAACAAAGATGATAGTCATCTATTTAGATAAAATAGTCTATGTAGTTTAAGATAAAAACTACAGAAAAAAAAAAAATTAACCCTGCACACATCAATTTAGATAACTTTAATTAGATTATTGAATTTATTTCTCTTTAAATAAATGCCAAATTAAATGTTGCAAGCATTATTGACTTTCTTCCAAAATAGTAAATTATATAGCAAATAAACATAAATTAAAAATATAGAATGGGAAAATAAATGGCATCACTTTTAAAAGAAAGTTAATATGCAAGATAAACTTAATTAATCAAATAATAGTTTACACATCATATCCATAAATAATAAAAGAAAAATTTTCTGCTTTCTTGTAATCTAAAAGAGTGAATTGAATTTTTATAATGTAAAGTATACATATATTGATAAAACTAATAGTGTTGCTGCTAAAAATACTTTAAAACAAAATCTAAGTAATAAAGATAATCTTACTAAACACAGGAATTATTTTTTGATTAATTTTAATTTATCAAACATTCATATAATTCTATTGCCCCAACTTTTTTTGTCATTTAGTAAAATTTTATTAATTATTATAAATCAAATTAAATTAAATAATTTTTATATAGATGTATATAAATTCAGGTTAAAGAGAAACAAAAGAAAATTTTTATTCACCGAATCTTTCAGGTCAGGTAATATTATTTTATTAAATCATATAATTATTTTGAAATGAAATAATTAAAGAATTAATAGAATTATCTTGCAATTTATTATATTTTATTAAAACTAATTTATAACCTAGATTTTTATTATTATTTTAGAAACAATAAATTTAGGCAATTTTTGTCACAAACAAAAATATAGAAAAAGATTCTTTATATGTTAAAAATATTTATCATATTATTATTATTAAACCAAAACTTTTTCTAATTTAAATAAACTATTAAAAGTCTATTATATTAATATTGAATAATTTATAATATATTACTAAATAAATTATTGATGAGCAATTCTTTATCATCAAACTAAGCTTTGTAAGAAATAATTACATTAGAATAATAGCTTTTAAATAGCTTTCTATGTCAAATTTATTTCTTTGAAAACTATTTATGATCTTATTTTTTTTTTAATCTGTCATAATAACTTCTCAAAAAAATATCAACAATGAATAAAAAGATTACTTTAATTTTAGGATATGAATTAGATGTGCAAATAAACATAAATATTTGATAATTCTATAAAGTAAAATTTATTAATTACAATCTGATAGAATTTACCTTGATTAACTAAATAGGTTAATGAAATATAAATTACTAAAAAAGAAATAATAAATTGCTTTATTCTATAATTTGTAAAATTTTTTATTGAGATATTAATTTGAAAATATTATAATATAAAATAATGAACGCATAATCACTTGAAACAACGAAAACATAGAATATGAAGGACTATAAAGCATAGCATAAATTGGAAGATAGAAAGAAGAGAGTATAACAATATAAAGAAAAATACCCAGAAATGACGCCTATGGTTGTTTAAAAGCATCCAAAAGCAAAGATAGTATCATTAACAAGACCTTAGTATATAATTAAAAATAATATAGATTTTTGGTTAATCAAACAGTCAAGTTTTCAGATTTTAAAAACTAAATCAGAGCAAAACTTTAATTATCACCTTAATAAACATTGTTTTTCTATTGTGGAAATAATATAATATCTGATGGTAATATTTATATTAAATATAGATATTTCACTTTAAGAATTATATAATAAATATAAAGATAAAGAGGATGAATTTCTATATTTGAATTATTCTGATTGTGAAGTTTTTGGGAATTGAAATAATTGATATTCATATAAATAAGTACATATTTACTATAATATATTTTGAAAATCTATAAAACAATGATTGAAAAGTATATAAAAATAGATAATTGTTTCATTGAAAAAAAACAGAAATATTATATATTAAAAATGGAAAACAAAAATTTAGCAATATATTTGTTAAATTTCGTAACAAATGCTTTAATAAATTTTGATCATGGAATAATTCCAGCATGTACAACAGATATGAAATTAGATTTAGGAATAGATGACGTTTAAGTATGAATTAAGAGATAAAAATATAATTTTAGTTAGGTTTGATGGGATCATCAGTTTATGGAGGACTTGTAATAGGTTCATTTTTAGGAACAGGAATATTCGATAAATATAAAACTAAACATATAGTCACAATAAGTGTTTTATGTTGCATATTAAGTTTATCTTTATTTATAGTAACCAAAAATATATTTCTTTTATTTATATCAAGATTTTTAACAGGATTCTTTTAAGTATGCAATATTAATTTATTTGGTATTTTTAGTAGTATTTTTCCCAGTATGGATAGATTTATTTGGAGAAAATCGTAAAACTTTATGGTTAACTTATATGTAATTAGGAGTAGCTTTAGGAACAGTATCAGGATATTTAGTAACTTCATTATCACTTCATTTTTCATCAGATGTAATTCAAATATAAATTGTATTAGTGGGTTTATCCATATTATTTACAAATTATTTTACTAATACCTTGTTTTTTATTTTATTGTTTATGTAATGAAGAAATGATAACAACATAAAATAGAGAAGAAAGTAATATAAATAAAGAAGATTTCAAGACTATTTTTGTATAAAATTTAAAAACTTTTTTTTAAAATCCAGTTTTTGTTTTTTCTATGTTATCATTAAGTTCATTATTTTTTGTAGTAACAGGAGTTCAATTTTGGATAACAGATTATCTTAGAAATGTTTTATTAATGACACATGAGGTAGTATTTAAATCATTTTTAATAATATCATTGACTGCACCACTTAGTGGAGTATATTTAGGAGGTTTAATTTTACATAATTTTGGAGGATATGATGGATAAATGGCAATGCAAATAGCAGCTATTGAAGCATTATTAGCAAGTATATCAGGAGCATTTATTCCAGTTTTTAATAATGGAATATATGTTTTAATATTTTTATGGTTTTTATTATTTTTTGGAGGTAGTGCTGTACCAGCAATTATAGGTATAATGATTACTTCAATTCCAAAAGATTAAAGATCAAGTGGTAATTCATTAAGCCATTTGTTTTAAGAATTATTAGGATATTTACCTGCACCTGTTTTATATGGTTATATTACATAATAAACTGGAGGATCAACATCTCGTTGGGGAATGATTCTTCTCTCTATTTTTGGATTTTTCGGTTTATTCTATATTGTATTAGGAATCATTTTCAAATCTAAATAATTAAAAGAATTGAATAATTAGGAAAATTAATCAGAATTAATTAATAAAGTTTCTCCTTTAAATTCATAAAATAAAAATGATATTAAATTAAAATCTGATTTTAATTGGGTTAGAATGCAAACTTCTATATAATCAGGAAAATCAGTTACAATTCCAATTTAATAAGATTAAATTGATAATGATGTCTAATTTGATAATCAAACATCCCTTTTACATATAAATCGCAATTTCAAATCAAGAGCTGCATATCGAAGATAAGCTTCTGTTACTTAAGCTTTATCCAATTTTTCAAATCTTCTTGGAAGAGGTAGTCTTGATAGTGATTTATTTTCAATTAAACATGAATATGAAAAATAATAAATCTAAAATTATACTAATGAAATCGAACTCTAAGTTGCTGGAGATTATTATCTAGTAAGTGAAGGTAGATATGTAAAATTTAGAGAAAATTGATATTTATTAATATATTTTTATTCAAAATAATTTATTCAAATTATATCTATAAATTTGTATTAAATAATATTAAATCCATAATTTTTTTCAGATTTTTTAACAAAACATATCTATAAATTCTAAATAATCTATTTCTCCATCATTATTTTTATCTACCTCTTTTATTAAACTTTCACAAAATTATTTTGAAATGAATTTTAATTAATCAACTGATTTTAATACATTTTAAAGATTTTCTACAGTTATTTTACCAGTATTATTTAAATCAAATTATTTAAATGCTAAATAACATTTCTCCTCTTTTAAAAATAATCTCTTTTCATAAATTTAATTTATAAAATCTATTAAATTATATATAATAATTACTTTGATAATTTATTTTATCATCAAGAATTTCAGAATGCTCTAAAATTAAATTAATATCTTCATATTCTGGTTAATCTTTTAAAGTTTCTTTAATTGAAGAAACTGAAATAAATCCTTTCGAATTAACATCTAATTCTTCAAAAATTTTCTTTAATTTTTCTAAAGAATCTTTTTAAAGTTATTCAGATAAAAAATTCATCATTATCTAATTTTAAAATTAAAAAGATACTCTTAATAAATGATTTTAATTTGATAATTCTTTCATTTATTTAAAATTTGGATTTAAGAATATAGTTTTATCAATAGGTGTTTGAATCCAAGGATGTTTCAATATATCAAAAATTGAAATTCTTTTATATGGATCAATTAAAATTTTAGACAATAAATCTGCAATAGGTTTTTCAACTTTTAAAGTTATTTCATAATTTTGAATTTGTTTGTAAATATCAGCATCTGTTTAACCATTAAATGGTAATTCACCTGTCAATAAAACATGGAAAATAACACCAACTGCCCAAATATCACATTTTTCAGTTAATCTTCCTTCAAATATTTCTGGAGCTGTATAATATAACTTACAATTAATATAATTTTACTTTTCCTGATCTTGAAGATTCTACAACAATACCATTCTGTTTTTTAATATAATCATCTACATAAAGTAATTAAAATCCAAAATCAACTGCTTTTATTCTCATATCTTCTGCTTTACGTTCAATATATAAAAATGATTCAGGCTATTAATTTTATTATATCTATTACTCTTAAATCTCGATGACATAAAGCATATTTATGACAAATATTAATGGATTATATCATTTGCAAAAATAATTAACGCGCTTCTTCAGCTGAAAGCACATATTTTTCGAGAATTTTTTCAAACAATGAACCACCTTCGCATAGACTTAACTAGATTAATTTTGTTAAAAATACTCAATCACTATATGTAGGTTCCTATCATCTTCATACAGTTCATATATTTTAATAACATTCTCATGATTCTAATCATTAAGTAATTGTTTTACTATATTTTTTAGTTAGTTTATATCTGATTTCAATTTTTCTTTATGTTTAACTTTAGCTTTTGGAATTGTACGTATAGCTTTATAGATTTTTGTTAATCTTTCTTTCACTTTTAAAACTTAACCAAATTTTCCTGATCCAAGAACCTTGTTTAATTTACTTATACTTTCTTTGTTTCCATTTCATATTTCTAATTTAAATTATAAGATTGACTCCACATGAACCATAATTATTTTGAATTCTTCATATTAAATATTTATAATCAAATTAACAACAGAACATAATTAATAACAAAAAAAACAAGAAAAGCCAAAATAAAAACATTGAAAGCAAATTAATTTCCTTCTCCTACACATTTACCAATCCATATACAATGGTGATCATAACCTCTTATACAAATATTGCAATCCTTACAATGTATTGTTCCTTTAAGTTTATTCATTTAACAAATTTAACACCAATCTATTTAAATTTATTAAATACTATCTAAAAATGTAGCATTTATTGATTAATAATTAATTCCTTAATTTTATAAAGCAGTAATTATGAAACTTAATATTAAAAACAATCCAGAGCAACTTTATACAATTCTAAATAATATCTCGCTCTTATAGAATATAAATCCTATATAATATGTTCCGAAAATCAAAATTACAATTAGAAACAAGGGAAAAGGCCCTTCTATTACAAAAAATTAGTTTACAATGAGGTCCTATTGTAATTAATGGTTCATCATTTTTAAACCAAAAGCAATATTAATTTCCTTTTTTTCGTTTTAATTTTTTTACTTCACCTTAACTCAAAAGAATGTTTTCATCTTCTATTGAACCATTTTCAAAGTCGTTCATAATTTAATTAACAATATTATATATAAAACATTACTAATATTCCAATTATATTAGTTAATTTGATAAAATAAATTATAATTTATCATCTTATTTTTATAGAAAACAACTTATTATATATCTGATAATTTATTCTCTTCATTAAAATTAATTATGATAAAAAATATTTTATATAAATTTTCAACTTTCAAATCTCTATATGGATAGGCTGGTACAGTGAATTTTAAATTAATAAATGGAAAACATTAAGTAATATTATAAACTCATTGGGAAGATAATTGTGAATACTATTGTGACCCTGAAACTGGTTTTTTATTTGAAGATTAAAATGATTAAAGTTAGATTTCAAATATAGAAGAAGGAAAATATTAAACAAAAATAAATATACCTGAATATTATAATTATAATGGAATCATTAATGGTGATCTTTAACATATCTCATCTGGTATTGATGCAAAATTATATGGAAATATTGATATTGATTTGACAGGAAATTTTTTATCTTAAAAGATTAAATCTGAACACTGCAAGATTAAAGCTAATAGCCTAGCAATCAATTCTACTTTAGAAACATAATTTGGAGAGCTTACTATTAAAAATGATGTAATTATTAAAAAATTATTAATCTCAAAAATGGCAAATTTGTATTAAGAAAATGGAGATTGTAAAATTTAAGCTGGGTATGTTTAAAATATACAAAAAAAATATCCAATTCTTTCAAAATTTTAATTTCTTGAAAATATTGAATAAAATAATCATCTTTATATATCATCAACAGCAAATACTTTTAATATTGGAACATTTTCGGGAAGATTAAAATGTAATTTAAAAGCATAATCATTTTTCATTAAATCATTATCTGGGTTGTTTTATCTTAATTAAGCCAAAAAAATAGAATTAGGTATAACTAATGAACAAAATCAAGGGTTTATTAAAGCAGATCATATTATATTAAATATTTATGATAAATTGAAGTTCAATATATTTAATTATGGTAATTCAATTTATGATTTTAATGAATCTTACTATAATATTTATACTGAATGTGATAAACTTGAAATTAGATAAATAAATAATCCTTTTGGAATTTTATGATAAATTTACATATATATATATATATAGATATTAGTATTATTCACATTGCAGATGATAGTTTATTCATAAACTCTTTTATTTTATTTTCTCTAAAGATTATAGCATTTTCTCTAGCTTATAATTCATGTTATTTTTCTTAAAGTATTTTATATTCTTTATGAATTCTTTTTTCAAATAAAACTCGAGCAATATCAATATCAATTGATGATTCTTATTCATTTGATTCAGAAATTAACTATATTTAAGTTTCTTCAGTTTATGTTTATCTATTCACTAATGACAATTCTTTATTTATCAACTCCATTTCTTTTTCTCTTATTTATTTTTCAAAATTAAATAATTATTCTTCCTTCTTCTTCATTTCTTCATAAAATTAATCTAATTAATTTTATGTTTAATCAATTAATTATTTTGCACTTTTAACATCGCATTTTAATGAATCTATTTCTTCTGTTTATTTTAAATTAATTTATTGTTATTCTAATAATTTTTTTTCAAGAACTTAAATCTATTATTATTATTCTTCATAACAATCTAAATACATGGATTAATTTTTGATTTCACTTAATGGAGTTCTTTGATTCATAAAAAAAATATCTGATATACTTTTATTAGCAGATTTCATGTAAATTTTAATTTAATTTAACAATTAAATGTTTTTATAAAATTTTTAGAAGACTTAAAAAATAGACTTTTAAATATCATTAGAATTACTATATATATAGATATTTAGAGAAAAATAATTTCAAAATTCATAAAAATTCCATTGTTCATATGGTTAAGCAGGATTATTTCATCATCAATTTATATTTCTTTCCATACAGAATTAAAATTTATCGATGTGAAATAACTTTAATAATTATTTGAATCGATTTAACTTGCAAGAATATACTGATCAATATCTATCTAAGCTTTCTAAATTTCATTTTCTTTTTCTATTATCCTATTATCCCTATTATCATTTTATGATGTAACCTTTTCTTATTGAATCATTTGTGGAGCAGCTAGATTAATAATAGGATCCTTCTTTAATAGTTATCTTAAATAACCCATTTTCATATTTAAACATTCTTTGATATTAATTATTTATGAAGCCTTTCAAATTTAGCTATAATAATCTTCCAAAGTTTTCTTTGAACATCCAACTAGATTAGCTGCTTCTTTAAGAGAAGGTTTTATAAAATTTCCAGCATAATCCTTATACCCATTCTCAAATAAATCTCTCCATTATTGAACAAGATTGTTTGCTTCATAAACATATCGTTCTTTAGATCTTCTTTATTTATCAACGTATAAGCTTTATTACATCTTACTATTTTTTTTATAAAATAATTTCACCTTCTATCTGAAATTTTGCATTTTAATATCAAATAACAGTATTTATCAGATTTCTTTCGTATTGATTTTATAATTTGGAAGTTAATAGAATTTAGTTATCTATTCTAAAATCAATGATCAATTTGTTGTATACTAAAACTTGACTTATTATTTATTAATGAACTCTTTTTAAAAATAAAATCTCTTTTATACTATATACTAAAACTTGACTTATTTATCCCTCTTAAATTAAATTAGATTAATTTTTTCTCATTATTATTTTTAAAAGAAGAATTTTTTATATCATATTCTTTTATCAATTCCCTATTTCTTTCAATGTAATATAATAGATAGAATCTTCAAATAAATACTAATCTTCAAATTTTTAATAAGTAAAGATTTTTAAGATGATGCTTTACTTACATTTGATCTAATAACCTGAATTTTAATTTATTTGTTTTAAATGGCATAAAAAGAATAAATTGAATTCGATAAAAATTCAATTGATGATGAAACAAATTTTGTTCTTGATAAATTTGCAGAAGGCTATCGTTTAATAGAAATTAAAGGAGTTGTTAAAAATTATATAGAAGCTCGATATTAATAAACATTTATTGCTATTAACAATAATGACTATAAAGTTTCTTATTATATCTACAAACAATTAGAAAAAGTCTTAATAAAAGCTTTAAAGAATTTTAATTAAGACCCTGATTTACTAACAGAATATTCTAAAGTTATGGTACAATTCTAATTTATAATAGCTTTATTTATTAGATAACAATTAAACAGTTTCATCAAACGAAAAATTCATGATTCTAAAGTTACCAACAGAAGTTCAAGTTTACCCAAAAGTAGAAGATATCGATTTCTATTACTATTTACTAAAGTATGTTATATAAACATTGAATAATATTGGAGTTATATTGATGAGAAGAAAAAAAATTAGAAATGCTGAAATTTATTTGATGAGAGCATTAGCAGCAAGAAGTTATGTGTTAGAGACTCATGTTTCTTAATTTTAGATGGGAGTATTATTAGAAAATTTAGCTTTTGTTTTTTTGAATAAAGAAGATAAGTAAGATGCTTAACAATTTATGACGAAAGCATTATTCCTATTTGAATAATTATCATAACCATAATATGAAAATGTTGAAGTGTGCATAAATTATAAATTTATGTTAAATTTGGTTGAGTAATTTATTTTTACATTATTTATAGAATCCTTTATAATCAGAATGAAGATTAATTATTATAATAGCCAAGAGAAATTTAGAAGGAAAAAATGGTGCATTTACTTGCTATAACATATAATTATTATGGAGAAGTGTTTTAGTCATTAAATTTAAAAGATCAATAAAAATTTTGTACAGAATAATTTTAATACCTATGCAATTTAATGTAAAAGTGGAATCCAAGAATTGCAGTTAAATAAAAAAGAATGGAGAATATTTAACCTTAAAATAAATCTGAAGTAGATAAATAGGTAGTTGAAATAGCTAAACATAAAATTAATTAGAATTAAGTCAAAGTAGATTAAGTGGATATTAAAAAAAATAAAGTAAATAATGATTGTTTATAAAAAGAAAAACAACAACTTCCTTCTTCATAAAATTAGGTACTTTTTTAAAACTACATGTAATTTATTTTGTCTATATGAGTTAAATTCGAACTTAAAGATTTAAAGTTATAATTTTATAATTAGAATTTTTTATTTAGATAATAATCTTTTCTAAACCTCTAAATCTTGAAAAAAGTTTGTATATAGTTGAAAATGATTTAACTGAATATCAAAAAAAATATTATCCTGATTCATTAAAATCAACAGAGTCATTATATGAATTTTTCAAGATGTAAAATTAACTTCTTATTTTAAGCTTGATTAAATTACTTTTCTTTTAAGATAATTAGCTTCACATTAAAGAAATAAGGCATTTCTAATCTATCTAAGAATTTAATAAATAATTAATTTGATCTTTCATCATTAGTGAATTATAAAAATATAAATAGTATGGAATACATTTAACTTTATTTAAAATTTTAGATTATTTATCTAATTTGGTTTTCTTATTTCTTATAGTGTGTTTCAGTATCTATTATTTTTAAGATTAAATTTATAAAAAAGAATAGTAAAATAAAGTAAAATTTAAGCTTGGATGAATCTAGAAATTAATTCTAAAATTTTAATTTGTTTAATTTATTTACTTAATAATTTTTATTATCCTAAAAAATCAATATTTTTATTATAATATTTATAATTAGGTTTAGAAAAGAATTTTTAATATTAAATATACTATGATATTTATTTTTAGAAAAAGTTGAGATGGCAAATATAGTAAATTTAACAAAATAGATCTCAAATGGTCATTTAAATGATTTTAGATTAAGATTATTATTAAAAATAATTTTTTTAATAATTACAGAATACAATAAAGGTGATTAATTGAATATAACAGTAATTTAAAAAAATATGTGATGTTTGCAATGTTAATAGTTTGAATGAATAGGAATATGAGAAAAAAGTCGTATTATTATTTGAATGATTAAATTAAGTGATAAAGATTTTTATTTATTAAATATAACAATCAAATTGTATTAAGGAAATTTAGTTAATTTATATATAGTAATAGAACTGGAATTGGAAAAGTTAATATTTTAGATAATAGATTAGGATTATTTGGTTCTATAATTATTTTATTATATTATGATATATACGCTAACTCCTGAGCAAGCTTAGATCTCTATAAAAATCGATAAGCCCAGCTATTATCCTGGGGAGATTATAAAAGGGGTGATATATATGAAAATAAAAACGAAGGATATTTAAGCAGGTCTTTTGTATTTAAAAGTATGAATTCGAATAAATCAATAAAGCTCTGTGGCCAAGAGAAAGTGAATTAATTAGACTCATATAACTAATTCTTTAGCTTTAAATAATTCATATACAAAAAACAGAAAAAAATAACAGACTTTGGAATGTATAATAATTCAGCTGAATATTAGAAAAATGCCAATATTAGCTTGCAAAAAATATTTTGAATTAGAAGTTCCATAATTATATCCAAGTTTTACAATTAATTATTACAAAATGGTTTAATGCAGAATTCTTTATTTTTTATCTGTAAGTATATAAAGTGAAGATGAGAAATTTTTATATAAAGTACCAAAAAAACATAGAGTTGTAGTTCATATATTTTAAAAATTGACAATTTAGAATTCAATACCGATAGAGTATTCAGGAATTTCAAAATAAGAAAAAAAGTGTTGCTTTTCTACAGGGGTATAGAAATAAATAAATTTTAGAATACAAAAGTAAAGGTTTAGCTTGAAAGAATATAATATATATTTGGAGATAGTATATCATTAATTTTAGAAGTTGATAATAGTTAATCAAATGGTGTCATCTAAAAAATTGAATTAAAGATTTCATCTTAATTAGTAGTTTTATATAAAGAATAAAAGAGAAAGTTATCAAATTATTTTGAAATCTTATAATAAGAATTAACAGGTAAATTGATGAATTAATTTTAGAACAAATTTAAGCACATGCATCAAAATAAATTACTACTAATTTAATTCTACCATTTGGAAAGGGAGAAAATAAAACGGCTATTTTCCCATAAAGTACATTAAAAACAAAAAGAATAAGTTATTAATATATTCTTACTGTGAATGTGATTTTTGCAAAATAGTTATTTGTTAAAGTAGAAAATCTTGTTGTATCAGTACCTTTGATTTTGATTTAAAATTAGAAGAGAGAAAAAAGTAATATTATTTAATCGATGGATAATTTAAGCAAGATTGGATCATTGGTTGAAACAAACTAAAGATTGAATACAAGTTAACTAAAAAAGTTTATATATGGAGATCATAATTCTGCTGGATATGGAGAATAAGATGGTTATGATGGGCCTTTAAGAAAATATAATCCAATTGAAAGTTTAGATGAAAAGGCATTAAAAGACTCTAAAGGAGCTTTAGAATAGTTGATGTTTAAAAAATAATATGAAGTTGATAGTGAAATTGATGAAAATTTTGAAGATGAAATAGAAGGTGTAAGTTTAAATAATACCAGTCTTAATTAAATATAACCATTTTAAGAATAATAGTAGTAGAGGACAATCTTTAACTAAAATTAAACAAAAGATTTAAATTGTCTCAATAACAATAATGAACAATTTAAATAAGGAAATGATATTTAAGAACATTTGTAAACAATAAAGGAAGAACAAGAAAGTAAGTATAATCTTAACACCAACGCCTAATCTTCTACTTAGAATCGAAAATGTCAATAAATAGAATAAATTCAATAAGATTTCAAAAAAACTTCTCGAAATCAAGGATTAGATAAGAAAGACTTTGAGCAAATAATTAATAGTCCAAAAGACGGAACAAATGAAAAAAAAACTACAATACTTAAAAAAAATAAAAATAATTTATTTTCTGTAGAATAAAATGAATAAAGAGAATAAAAATAATTAAAGGTTTAATTTAATGATGTTACTTCAGTTGATACTCTTGAAGGGAAGAATGGAGAAAAGATAAATATCCAAAAATAAAAAAAATGAAATTTAATGAAAACAATTTTTGAAATGATAGTCTGTTATTCATTTATAATATTATTTGTAAACATTTAATTAAAATCTTATAAAAAATTATTATTAAACTAATATTTTCATCATAAATCTTATCCTTATTATTATTCTATAAGTTTTTCTCCCCCTTTTTCTTCTTTCTTCAAAATATGACTTAATTCATCATAATTGAATCATTTTTTATATTGATTTGGTTAATTTAATAAAATAATAAATTATGAGTCATAAAATAATATACATTCGAAATTTTAAGCAATATGAAACATAATTATTGGTATTACCTGATTGAAATAAATCAAACAATGATTCTAAATTTTATTCTAAATATAACAAAAATGCAACCCAAATAACAATACCAGATATTGTAGGATGTATGAATTAACTATGAGTTATTTTAAAAAATCCACAAGCCTTGTTTTGAATATTGTTGGAATTGTCAAAAATTAAATTAGACACATAAATTTCACTGGTTTTTTTTCATTTGCAAGATAATAAATGAAATAATCAATTTTTTCAATTATTGCCATCTAAACATAATTTCTTATGAAATATCTCCTTAGAAGAAAATCAAAATACTTTTATCATCTATTTAAATATTACTTTGCTAAAAATTTAGCCAAAGACACCACAAATAATGTAAACCAAAAATGTTGAATCAAATATCTAACTAAAATATCATACAAGAAAATATTAAAACCTATTAATACAAACTATTATTCAATAATCCCTCTGAATATTGCTTCAAGAATTTACCTTAGCTTGATATCTAAAACCTTACACACGAAAATCTTTCAAAATACTGTAGCAGAAATATCTGAAATCCAGAACCCACTATAATAACAAAACAAATGTTATCAATATTAATGAGTTAAGAATAATAATTAAAATTCTTTGGATTATCCTATGAATTTTCTAAATTTGCCAAAATACCATAATACTTTATCCTTCTTTGACTCTTTAAAACTTTTCTCTTATTTCCTTAACTAAATCTTCATAAAATCATTGTGAAATTATTTACTCATTCATTCGTTTTTTTTTACTTTATTATGTACTTTATTATAATAAAAATTAAATATTTGAAATATGAGTTTTATAATGTCTAGTACCAATAATATTTGTTTTATGAAAATAATGGAAAATACTAATACATAAAATTAATAAATAATATGTATATGATATGAAAAAGAAAGAATTGATTACAGAACAGTTATGACTTTTTCATACATAAATTGTTATGCTTTTGTCATAACATATATTAAAATATATATATAAATATATAATGAATCAAATCTAATCGATTTCTTCAGTTTTTTTCTTGAGTAAGTTACTATATGGAGTTTCTGGTTCCTCCTTTATAATGCCTAAACGTTAAGAGAAACCTATTTTTTATTATTGGGATTGCTAAGCTTATTTTTATTATTGAGCTTGTAATTATTGTTTTTCTTCTAAAGACTCAAAGGAGGAATTGCTGTCACAAAAATTAATGACATCAAATAGGTCTTTGACATCCTCGGTGGATTTAACAGGACATTTGGTAAGATTAATTGAATGGATTGATTATTAAAAGTGAATAGATTTCTCTCTGATTTGCTAACTGGTTTCTTTATAAGCAATAATAATTTATCCATGATTTTTAGTCAAATCTCTTTTATCAATAAATTATTCATTAGAATTAGAAACAGATTATTGTAATATTTTCATATTTGCTTACATAGACCTAACTAAACCTAAAAGAGGTTTATCACTAGACGTAAGAACAATGTCATCCTTTGATCTGATTTTTAGATGCTTAGAGAATATCTTAGGTTGATAAAGCCAAGGATGAAGTAAAGCCTCTAAAATTGAATAATAAATAAAATACAAGCTGATGTAATTCTTTAATCTGGATTCCATCTTAATATTCTTTTAATAAAGTCAATGACTAGAGGAGGCAATTTAAGAAATTCTGGCTATTTCAAATGTTCAGTATACTCAGATTAAGTAGAGAAACTATCCATTTGATTCTCTTGATCAAGAGGCAATTTACCACATAACATTTAATAACAAACAACTCCTATAGCCCATACATCTATCTATTTAGAATATCCAGAACCTATCCATAATTCAGGAGCTTAATAAGGCATTGTTCCAGTTACTGTCCACAACAAATTATTTTTAATGTCTTTGCAATTCTTTTCTGCTATGAGAAATCTCTTAGAAACACCAAAATCAATTAACTTAATAGTATTTGTATCATTATCAAATACAATATTATCTGGTTTAATATCTCTATGACATAATCCAACTTTATGAATATAAGACACTGCCTCAAATAATTATCTCATTATTAAACAGGTTTCATTTAGATCTAAAGTTTTCCTTTCTTTTAAAATTTATTACAAATTTGGGTATGGTAGATACTCCATTACTAAATAAGAGCATTCCATATTTGGATCTATATAAAGCATATTTGTTTTGCAAATATAAGGATGATTTAAAGAAACTGTATTTAGAAATGTTTATTTCATTATTTCAGTTATTTCTGGATCTGCATTACGTGAAATCTTAACTGCATATGTCTCATCTGGATTTTTTATTTACCAACATTATCTAACTACTGCATGAGCTCCTTCACCTAATATTTTCCCTATTTGATAGATATTTTTGAATGATTGCTTCATCTATTATAGTTGTTTTTAATTTGATAAATAATCTATTATTTTAGGCGCGTCTTCTTTAAATTCGCTTTAACTTGAACAATGAACATATTCTAATATTTATGGACATTGATTGATAATTTCTTCAACCATCTATTTTTATTAATTCTCATTCTTAAATAGATCACTTTTCAATTTATTTCTTAATCTCTCAAAGTTACCTTTTTTGTCCATTTTTATTGTTATTTATTTTTATATAATTATATCAAGTAAAATTTATTTTTTCATTAATCTAATCAATATAAAATCACAATTCTTAATATTTATATATATAACCTCATACTTCTTCTATTCAAAACATATATATAAATAATATAGCCAGCAAAACCTTGTAAAGAGATTACTTTAAAAATCAGAAGAAACAATTATAATTTATTTTCTTCCTCAAAAATAAATAATTCATTTTTTCATTAAAAATATGTAAATTTTATTACTATTTTGTTAAAAAAAATGAGGTTTCCAAAAAAATTTAATTCTTTAAGAATTTAAAATAAAAATGTAACAATATTTTCATAAAATGTTTAATTGACCTGTTAATATTAATTATAATTTGTATAATATTTTAGTCTTAGTTTCATTATAAACAAAATATATTTTTTAAAAACGAAAAAAACCAACACAATTATTATCAATTACCATTATATTACTAAATAATATTGTTTCTAATATTTTAAATCACATTTTATGGTAAAATGTTATAATTATAAATCTAACAGAAATAAATCAATCTAGAAATTCGTTGTATTAAACTGTAACACATTGCTAAATTCTTTTTTAAAATTCTTTTTTTTATACTCAACAAACATTATAGGTTTAAAAATGGAAGAAAATCAGAAAGTCTGAACTTAATTTAATATAATTTATTTTATGAAATAGTTTGTTAAACTTTTGATAATTTTGGGAGAATCAGAAATTGACATAGAACTTACTCGACAAGAATTATGTGCCTAGAGATTATTTGAACCCTTCACTAGTTTTAAACGACTAGATTAAAATAATAAAACAAAACTAGGAGTTAATGAATTTTATGAATTTTTGCTAGACAATTAAGAAAGACCTATAACTCATTAATAATTAGATATTCTTATTAAATATTTAGATTACGATAAAGATGGATGGGTTTCATACAATGAGTAAATTATTATAATAAAAATCTGATAGCTTTATTAAAACAATATTACCCCAAGAACACCCTGAATTAACTGAATTAGCTATGCTAAGATCTAGCTATTAAATTGAAAAAAATGTTCTATTGCCATCAGAAATTGAGACATTATTATATGAATTATTATTGTGCATTCTAACCTGGAGAGATTCTATTGAAAAAGTTAAAATACAATTACTTAGAGATAATTATAACAATTTTTTAGATGATCTCTTTAAGAACCATTAATAATTAACCATTTAACAGTAATTGTTTATTAATAAAAGATTTTATAAAATAATAAATGAAATTCAACCTGTAAAACAAGAAACAATTTTATCATGTTTTAAATACATGGATTAGAAAAAGGTTAGATTTATAACTAAATCTGATGTCGTTTAAAATTTATTTGGAATCCCTTTAGATTAATACACATTATATAATCCATCTCCGAGACATAATTATTTACCAATCTCTCCTAGAATTATGTAATTACCAATAAATGAAAGGACTTTCACTAATATTGAAAACATTATGTCAGTATTTACATCTAATAAGAATAGAAATGGAAAGATTATATCATTTAAAACAAATTCTTAACACCTTGCCTAACTAAACTGATATATATATACTATTATTATTAATATAAAATATTAGCCGAAACTTAAAATTTTTTATTTAATTAATTTATAATGAGTGAAGGATAGTAATTTTAAAAAAATCCATAATAAAATGAAATCCTTATTGGGATGCCAAAATCTGGAAATCCTTGGAAGAAACTTTCAACAAAGTATAAAATCATCATGATAAAATTAGATCAAGTTCAAGAAATAAAAAATTTCATAAAGTTTCATGGGAGGAAAAGTAAAAATAAAGATAATAAAAGAAAGAATTATAAGAATATTTAAAAGAATATAAAGCAGAAAAGGAGAAAAAGGTATTGGTTTAATTTAAAATAGATTCAAGAGGAAAAACTGAGAAAAAAAAATAAAAAGAAACAAGATGAATTAAATAAATATAAGACTGCTGATCTTTAAGTAATAAAAGAATCCAAAAATATTAAAAAATGGACCAAAAAGGCACGTAAAACTTTGGTTAAATTGCCTGCTGAAATATTTGAATAATTACTAGAAAAATAGAGAAGAAAATGATTAAAATAATATTGTTTTATATTTTAAAATTTTAATGAATTAATAATACAAATAAAAACATGATTACACAAAAGATATAAATCAATTATAAATAAGAATTGATAATATGATTTTGTATGGAATGTGATGGTTGAATAATATAAAAAAAAATTAATTTAATTATAAAAGAAGCTTATAATTGAAAAAGATTAAGAAAATTTATGCATTAGTCAATAAATATGATATAATTTATTATAAATAATGTCAATCAAAGTTGTATAAATTAAATTTGATTATAAATTATATATATAATTATAAATTTTAATGGAATAGGGATTGATTTCTGCATCTATATAAGGGAATATTAAAGCTCCTTTGAGAGTATTATTAATTTCATTAATCCTATCAATAATTGTGTGTTTTGTTGAAGCTATAGTATTTAGTGTAAAAACATCAGAAATAAGTATTAAATTTGATAAATTAGATCAACATTGTGGTTCAAATTCAGCTGCAATTGTTTAAGCAATATCATATTATTTTGTCCTTATCGCTTTATTAGTTTTTGTTTTTGTCATAAATAGATTGAAAAAAACATACATTTTATTCACTACAATCCCTTGTTTAATTTTAAAAACAGTTTCATTTATTATGATGATGACTTAATTGAATTACATGTGGGGTACTTGCTATATTGAAGCCTCCTAAATTTCAACTTTTATCATAAGTGATTTTTTTTGGATTATTTTAATATTATACTATTTTAGTTCATTAGCTAAATTGTAGCAAAGGTTTCCAGATGTATTTTATCATAGTTTCAAACTCAATTTACTTTTGGGTTAATGATTATGTATAATAAATATATATTTATGTTTATTTAAATTAATAAAATGCAATTATTTTGAATTAATTGTAATCAATAAAGATTATGATAAGATCAAATTACATTATTTTAAAGACAATCTTAAATATTCTGATTTAATAATCTTAATTAGAAATAAATTTAAATAATAATTTAGAATATTTAGAGTGTTAAATAAATTGAAAAAATTAATTACATAAATTTTCTATAATTGATTGTTTCAAATTACAATTACAAAAGATGAACAGATAAATATAGAAATCTTTTAATGTTTTTTTGATATCCAATTAAGGAATGAGTAATATTTTTTAAATTAAATAATAAAATTATTAAATAAAATAAAATAATGAATGAATTTTGTTTACAAAGATGTATTCATTTTGCTCTAGCAAATCCAACCCTATCATTATCTCTATCATAGACAGAATAATATTTGCTTAAGAAAGTATCACCTAAAATCCAAGCTGGTCCTTATGGGAATGGAATGTCTAATGGCATGAATGTTCCTATACATTCACAACCTCCACCCATTTCTAAAAAGCTATCTGTTGATGCAAATGATCCATATGCAATCTAATATTAATAAAATAAATTTACTTCATTTCCATATGAATCAATTTTCATAATATAATCATGAGCATCCAGATCATAATTAATACCATCTAATACAAATGTTAAAGTTGGTAATTCTTTAAGATTTTTACAATTTTCATCTATATCAAGATTATCAATTAAATCATATAAATCATCAGATGGTCCTGTAATTAATGAAGTACCAGTATCTGCAATTACACTGCAACCACCTTTACATAAACCAATATCTTTTCCATTTACTAAAATATTATTTGCTTCCAATAACCAATAGTATTTATTTGCAACGTTATGAAAATGTAATTCTCCTTAAAAATGATCTTAATTCCATCCACCTAAAGTTAATTCTGAAGTTCTAGATCCTTCTTATCTTGAAAAATAGAATGAAAACACATTTCTATCCAATAATTTTTATTGCATAATATTATCAAATAATGGATTAAAATGATATGCAGCCATTGTTGGATATGCTAAACCTACTATTCCGTCAAAATCAGATTATGCAAATACATCTCCATTTTCTCTTACTATTTCTGCAAATTCTTATTTTCTAATCTTTACATTACCTACATATGCAGTATCTGCATTTATCTATATAATTTATTTATAATCTTACTTCTCCCATTAATTCACCAGTACCAAATTCAACATCTAAATCATACCCTAAATGTTCATAAGTTAAACTCTTTTAACCATCATATTATTTATGATTTTTGCATCCATAATCATGACATCTTGCTGAATTCAACCAAATATTTGCTGATCCAGTATCAAATATAACCTATATTATTTTTAATCAATTTATCTACTTTAAATTTGTTTTCTGATGATCCAAAACTTATTTCACCAGTATATTAGGTATTTTTAAAATTATATAATTTTATGCTCTCCTTCTACTATGTCTAAGTTAAAGATATGTCATCTAATAACTCACTCTTAGATCTAAAATGCTATCCTGTTGTTATAAAATCAAATAATGATTTTCTAGCTTAAGATTATGTTCGCTCCAATTTTATTGAATAGATTTTATTTTGCATTCCTGGCTACTCTTCTAAAAAAGAAGCACAATATGATGACAAAATCAAAACAGAAACAAAGTAAACTTATTTCATTTAATATTGAATGTTTTACTTCAAAAACGATAATTTTTACCATAAAGTGAATTAACAGAATCTATTCATTAAACACTAATTATTAAATTTTAAATTTCATACTCAAATTATTAATCTTATAAAAATCATTCATTATGACTTCTATAATTATTAAATAGACCATCTGAGTAAGATTGCTTCAATTTTCAAATTTAAATAAATTATATTTTATATAATGAAAATTTCATAAATATAGTTTGATTCCATAAAATTAATTAAATAAATGTAAACATTATATAAATTAACTACAAATTAATCAATTATATTATAAAAAGTTTTCATTATTATAAATTACATTTTTAATAAGAATAAGACTTTTAGCAATCTTCACATTTCACATTAATTTTTCTTATATTTTCTTATAGCTTATACATAATAGATCTATCTTGCTAAACTTCTTAAACATCTAAGTTACGAACTCATTGTTAAATCTTGTATTTAACTATTTTATAAAAATAATCACACTATATTTTGTGGTATTTCTGCTTTTTACATATCATATTTAATATCACCTATAATTCTTAAAATCAACAATCCAATTTATTATCTTTCTTGTTCTAATGCTTTAATTTAAAAAATGAATTCTTAATTAGTTTATGATTTTCAATTTATGATTTCATATCATACTCTCTCTCTTAAGTGATAATATTTAAACCCTCTAAAATTTGAACTTAATATATTTAAACAAAAAAATTAGTTTTGTCATTAAGCCAAGAGTCCAAAAAAGAATGAGATAAAATTGATAATAATTAGCAATTAAATTATTTCTCAAAAAATCTCAATTAATGAATTAACATTATATTTTCAATATGATGAAAAAAAAAGAATAAGTAGATATTTTATTGATACATGAGGATTTTGTAAAATATTAAGAATTGTTAATAGACTTTATCCTAATCTTAATAATCTTCTAAAAACAAAAATTTATTCTATTTTAAATTATTTATGATTTCAATAAATTAAAAAGTTCTATCCAGAACAATTATTATCTATTGCAAGAAGCATAAGATTTCTAAGTATTTCAAATTTTAGAGTGTTTTTAATATTTTATCACTATTCTCTGTTGATGATTTAAATTTTTACCTTGTAACTGATAAGAATGAGACGAATTTAGACAACAACAGATTGATTAATTTTATATTTATAATAAAATTCGAAAGTTTTTTTTTTAATTAAATTATATAGAGAATAGAATGATGAAACGGATAGTATAGGATTAGATTAAAAAAGATTTATATATATAGGTTCCAAAAATTTGATTGTATATTTTCAAGTTTTCACACTTGAATTAAATTGAGAAGCAAACTGATCCATTAATTTTTGAGTTTCAATTCTTTATTGATTGAGTCTCTAAGAATAAGATAATATAATACTCTCATTTTTTCTTTTTCGATATATATTATGTTTTATTTTCTAATTTGATTGTGTTCTTCTGATTAATCTGTTTATAAATGTTAATTTTCCATTCTTTTGATTTTCCCTAAACTAAAAGCATTATTCATTTTTGTTTTGTGAGTATTTAATTACCATTTATCTTTGTTATAGAGAGTACTTCTTGGTGTTTCTAATAGTTTACTACTCATTAAATGGCTAGATTTAAAGTTTTTGTTAGGGAGATTAGGAATGAAATATTGTAATTAATAAGGAATGTTTTTGAGTCTTTTGGCTCTCAAACTCTCTTACTTAGGTGTATATAAATGAAGTTGATTAGGACTACTTATTTAAGTAATTGCATGCTTGTGTAATCTCTTTTCAGTTTATTAACCTTTATTGATTGACAATATCCCTATTAATATTTAAAAAATTTTACTTGATCGTGATGTTGCGGTTTAAGCTTCTGATTCAAAACGGAATCCTGTTTCTAATTTAGGTAAATGAAGAATCAATTACACTTTTCTTTCTGAATTCATTATTTATTGATTAAAAATGATTACAGTGTGTAGTTATGATTTATATCAATTAAATATGGTATTTTCAAATTGTATAATTTAAATAAATTACATAAGACTGTTAATAAATTACTTTTAATAAATAGAATTGAACTCAAACTAATTAAGTTTTCAATCAAAATTATATTAGACAACATTATTGCTTTTAAGAATTTATTGGAATATCTCAAAATTTCTTATTAATAAAAATTTTATTTTAATTAAATTATGCAAAACAAATTCTAACTACATTGATAATATTTTAATTAAGTTTTTACCTTCAACAGGAATACACAAAAAAAAGAATATAAATTTGGAAAATTATTTGATAATGTTGATTTAATATTTAGAGAATTTTAATTATCTAAAATTGCTATGCTCATTATTGTAGAAAATTCAGAAAGAAAGTGGTAACAAAACTATAGTTTTAGAGATTTTTTGGGATCCGAATAAAATAATTATGAATTCTATTTGATTTTTGTATTAATGAACTTTGATATTTTACAATATTCAATGAAATTTTAATTAAAATTAATTGTTCTATATTATTAAATTTATTTGATTAAAAAAATTATGCAAATTAAAATAGAGAAAAAGAAAAATTCTTTATTTACTTAAGGCGTTAGTTATGTAGTGTGGAAAACAATAGTTAACATCTTCAGCTTATATGCAATTGTATAAGTATCGTTAGCCTTTTTCGATGAACAATAATATAAGTTTTAAAATAAAGGAACAATATTTCTTTTAATAAGACTGTTAATAATTGTATTTAGATAAATGTAACTTAGATTGTTCTATTTGCTGATATTTTTATAAAATTCAATGTTTAGCAAATAATAGATAAAAATGTAGTAATAAATAAAAACAATGAATTTTCTAAAAAGTACTTGCTTTTTATATTTTGTTTTGATTTTTTACCTGCTTTTTTTGTATTATTTTGGACTCTATTTTATTTACCAAATTATATAGCAGTTTTGATATTTTTGAAAGTAATATCATTGATTGATGCAGATACATACACTTAATAATAATTACTTCATCATGCATCAATATATTTTATATATAAGGTTTTGAGATTAATGGTGATTCTATTATTTGTATTTAATTGTTTTGGTTGTCTCTTTTATGTAATGGGATTAATAGGATTAAATTCAGATGAATAATTATCTTGGTTAGATTTTTCAAGGAGTTATAGTGGAATAATAGTAAAAGACTAGACAAGGAATACAAAATATATAATATCTACATATTGGGCAGTTGAAACATTAACATCTATAGGGTTTGGAGACATAACTCCTGTTAATACTTATGAAATCTTTATTACAGATTTAGCATTATTTGGATAAATGTTTGTTATTGTATATACAGTATCATATATTGTTTCTTTGTAAGACTAAAAAAATCCTTATGATAAGAATATGCAGGCAATTAAAAAGTTCATGAAAATTAAAAATATATCTAGTGATGTTGTCAATTAAGTTTCAATTTTTCTTGAATAATATTTTTATGATTTCAAAAGAAGAGATTAAAAATCAGAACAAGAAGTTATGAGAAAATTAACTAAACCTCTATAATCAAAATTATTATATTAGGCATATTAAAATTAATTATTAAAAATAGAATGGTTATTTAATCGTTTTTCATTGCAATGTTTATAAGATATTGCATGCAAAATAAAAGAAGTATGAATAATTAATATATTTAGTTATATCTAGGAGCTGATTAAATTATTGAATAAGACATATATGATCCAAAATTATATATAGTAGTTAATGGTATAATCAATTTAACATTAAATGGAGTATTGATTAAATCTATTGAAAAAGGAAATAGTTTTGGAAATTATGAATTTGTTACTGGTATTCGATAAAGATCTAAAGTTGCTAAGACTTAAACATATGCTACTTTATATTATATTAGTAGATTAGATATGATTGAATGTTTATAAAACTCATTTGAAGATTATTAAAAATTTTAAGAGATCTATGATTTAGTAATTTATGAGAAAAAACTTGAAACTATAGGATTGTATTGTTTATTATGCAAAAGTACATCTCATTTGACTTAATAATGTTAATAAATTAATATAAAAGAAATGATTTAAGATTTTCATTAAATGGGAATACAATAAAGATAAAAGTTTAAAAGATCTAAGAAACGTCACGATACATAAAATGAACCTAAAGATTTTTTATAATACAAATTTGACATAAAAACTAATTATGAAAATTTAGATATAGATCTAAAATGTAAAGCTTATAAGAAAATTTAATTAATTCCTTTCGTAATGAAAATGGAGAAAACTAAAGTTGATCCATTAAAAATAATAAGAGATGTAATTTAAGAAGCAAATGAAAAAAAATAATTTAAAATATTACGTGCATTACCAATTATAAATTGTTCAAGTCCTTTTGTTGATATATGGAATTATTTTATATTTACCAATACTTTGATGTTATTTACTCTAGTTCCCTTAATAATATTCTTCTATATAGATTACGATTCTTTCAAATTAAACCCTTTTTTTAAAGGCATGAGATATTATTTTATGGTAAATAATAAATATTAAATTAGTTTATCCTATTTGCAGATATAATATTAAAATTCAATATAAATTACTATTTTTTTGGTGCTCTCATCACATCTAGAAAATAGATAGGAGTGAGATATTTATCTTCGTACTTTGTATTTGATCTGATACCTGTACTTATATTAGTGTATTTTGATTTCATATCCACATACACAATTATTTATCTTTTAATTTTATTTAAAGCTGTATCCTTTTTCTAAATTGAAAAATAAATTTAAGAAAGATTAAAACTTTATCCATCTAAACATAAAACTTATTTGATTTTTAAAATGTTCATTGAAGTTCTATATTTATAACATTTTTGGGCTTGTATGTATTTTGCAGGTGGTGAATATATGTATTACAATTATCCAGGAACAAAGACTTGGTTAAATGATCCTAAAAGTCATTTTGGATCTATTATAAGTTTAAATTATTCAAAATAATATTTACTCTCTTATTATTGGGCTGTTAATGTTATAACAACTGTTGGATATGGTGATATTTATCCTTTAAATAATATGGAATGGTTTATAAATGATTTAGCTCTTATTTCAGCTATTATGATTGCAGCAATCAATATTACAAATATTGCATTTATTAGAGCATCTTCAAATCAAAAAGAATAATTAAAAAATAAAATTGCTATTACTGCATTTATGAAATAAAATTTAATTTCTAAACAAACAAGAAATTTCATTTTAACATACATGTTAAATAGTGAAATCTTAAATGATTATAGAAATACTGAATTAGAATTTAAAACTTTTGGAATGCTACCTAAATCACTCAAAAGTAAATTAATGGATCAAGCATATTCTTCAGTTTATACTAATTTATGGTTAAATAAGTTTGACAGTGAAATCATAGCCTAAATTGCATAAGAAACTAAAGAGGTTTATAATATATTTTTATATTAGGCTTTTTTTAGTGCACATGAAAATATCTTTTTAGATAATATATTTGATAGTACTTGCTCTTTATATTTCATTGAAAAAGGTTGTGTTTAATTGTTTTATAATTTACCAATATCTAATAAAGATGAAACTCTTATTGCTAAATTAAAAGCAAAAGAATCTTTTGGACATTATTCTTTTGTAACTGGAATGAAACGTCAAGGTAGTATATTTTATAATAATAGCTTCTGCCAGAAGCTATAAACATGTTCTTTTGATCTACTTGGAGAGAAATAATTTTTTAAAAGCACTATAAAATAATCTCAAATAAGTAGCTTTGTTTGAATAAATCAAATATGAAGTTCTATTTCTTAATAAATTAGAACATTTTAAGATCAAGTGTTATACTTGTTAATCTAGTGAACATATGAGTATTTCTTGTCCATTAACTTAAATTAAATAAAATATTATGTTGACATTTGAACCAAAGAAAAAAATAAATTTCATATAATAAAGAGAATATCTTAAAAGAAATAAGAAAACTACTACTTAGAGATTTAATTTAGATATCGATAAATAATTTATTAAGAATTCTAACAAGAAACCTTTTAAAGAAATCTTTTAATAAATTAATTTTATTATTGATGAAACCAATTCCATGTGAATAATTATTTCAATTCAAAATTAATAATAATTTTTTTATTATTTATTTTTCATTAATTTAAATGTTAAACTACATATTTCATATCTATATAATTCTATGTAGATTTTTTAAAACTATCCATTCATCCCTAAAAAATTAATAAAATTAATTATTATGAATTAAAATGATTAAAAGTTTATACTTCTTAATTTTTTCTAGAAATAAAAATATAGCTGGTCTTAATTCATTTTGTTCATAAAAAGCTCTAATCATATTCTTTTCTAAAAATTAATTTAATCAAATAAAAATCAAAAGCAAAATAGGCTTCGAAAATATCTTATTTAATTAATTGTCATATATTTTGATAAATCTTGAGTTTTTATATAATTAATATTTGTTCTCGTTTTAAGATTCCTGATAACAATATTAAATATATAAACTAAATTTATCAGATTATATTAAAGAAATAGTAGTAATGATATTGTTAATTTAGGAAATGAATTAGATAAATTAAATGAATATTCTTCAACCCTATAATTATTGCATGTATCCTTATCGCCCACAATTATATTATAATTTGTATACAGAGAACATTCAAGAACAAAATTAAGCAGCTGCAACATATAAGCAAGAAGTAGTATAATGGTATATATAGTTTTGATATATTTATAGGCTGTTCACATTGGAATAATCTGAATTGTATAAATTATTTCAGATAAAAGGATAAATAAAAACATTTCCAATAATGAAAATGTATATCCATGATAAATAATTTCAACCATCGAACTATGCTCTTCTTCAATAGTTAAATATTAATTAAATAATAATAGAGCTACAATTAAATTAGAGTCTAAAATAGATGATTAGTTTATAATGAAAACAAGAATGCTTCACAAAAAAACAGATGTACATGATACAAATATAGATTTTAGGAACTATATGATTAGTTGGTTATTTTTGATGATGAAAATTTTTTAGATACTATTATAGTAAACGAACCTCATTTAGATAATTTAAACAATTTTCTTGAATTGTTGGATGAACTTTCTGATAAATATTTTCTTTCTACTTCAGGGAAAATAACATTAGAAAAAGCAGAAGATCCAGTTTGGTTTCATTAAAATAGTTTTCATAGTTGTTCATAATGGATTATAAAGGAATTCGAAAAAAATATTAATTTTTATTATAATATCTAAAGAGACAAAAAAAAGAAATATCGATTTTAGAATAAGATAATTAATAAAAATAACTCTAAAGATTTATAGGAATATTTTGAAAAAAATTTAGCTAATAATAAAGAGAAAGTATAGATATTAATCAATTTATTAGTTGAGTTTTTATTTTGAATAAATTTATAATGAAATCAAACAGAATCCATAAAAGTTAGAAAATATTTTTTATGATACCATATTTTCAGGCACAGCAATTAAATTAATTAAATCTTAAGTAGAACTTTCTTTAAATTTTTAATAAAAATGTCACTCTGATACTAACATTATCAATTCAATGTTAATAACATAAATGGCAGATTTATTAGATTAAAAAACGTATTTTCTAAAGAAATTTTATACTTTTGTAATTCAATCATTTTAAGAACATTTAGAGAATGAATTATTTAACAGTGAATAATAAATAAAAAAAAAAAAAAATAAAAAAAAATCAAAGAAAAAGAAATCTGAACAAACAGAATATAAGAAAGCTCTTGATCTTATTGAATTGAATTAACGTCTTTCAAGTAAGAATATATAAGAATCAAACATACTGAGATTTTAAAGATCATATTCTCAAAATAATTTTGTATATAGTTATGTTACTCCACCAAATACTCCTTCAGCTTGGGAAAATAGTGATGATTAAAAGTATAAATTAAATTTAATATTAAAGTGAGATGAATTATCAATATTAGAAATAAATTAATGAAAATATTGATAGACAAAAAAAACTTTAAGAGAGTTAAAAATCTTTTGATATAGGATAAGCCAATATATCTTAAGCATTTATAGAAAATATTGAAAATCCAACAAATGATGATTTTGTAGAATACACCTAATCCTTAACATAAAATATTTTATAAATAGTATATGAATCTTTGATGGATGAAAATGTCTATTAAGAAGAATTAGTAAGAGAGAAAAAAAAAATGAAGAAAAAATAGAAAACAATTTGGAGGTCAATCCCAGAGAGCAGAGACGAATAAATGTAATTGTTATCTCCAGAATCTCAAATTACTGTAGAAACTTAAGCTTAAACAATTAAAAGTCTTTGTTCAAATAGAACACCTTCAAGTTCAGAAGAAGAGTAAATACAAAGGAGAACAAAAAAATTTATGACATAACTAGAGAAACAAGAAACGGGATCAGTCTAGTTTTCTAATTAAAAAAAAGATGGAAGTTTAAAAGAGTAAATTGAAGTTATCCAATAAAGAGGATAATAAAAATTAATTGAATAGATTAATTATGATATAATAGAATTTACTGATAACATTATGAATGAATATGAAGATATGTTACCATTTAGAATGTTAGCTTTTGATAGAATTAAACTTGTTATTTAAAAAGTTTTTTTTGGAATACCTGATGATATGATTTAGTAAGTCATATAATTATATAAAGATTATTTGGATCGTGTGCAACAGGATTAGCTTTAATTGATTCTGATATTGATATTGGTATTAGTGGTTTTTAACCTATGAATAAAAATGTTATTAAGGCTTTTTTTGATAATTTATTTTTTGAATTCACAAAAAGAAAATGGGTTAAAAAATCAAAGTAATAAATTATACAAATTTAGTCCAATTTTTAATTCAGTTGTTCCTGTAATTAAACTTGAAATAGATCCTTAAATTTCTTAAACAGAATTTGAAGGAAGAAATCTTAATGAAATAGATATCATAAAATGGAAAAAAATTAAATAAAGGATAAAATGTTGTATAAAAGTTGATATCTCCTTCAATTTTAATGGAAACACTTACAATTCTCCTCATTCTGGATTGATAACAACAGATTTAGTAAAATAATGGATGAAAGAATATCCAGCCATTTAATAATTAGTATTGATTTTAAAAAGTATAATAAAAAAACTAGGATTGTCTGAATCATATACAGGTAAATATTATATTACTATAGAGGTGGTCTATCTTCTTATTCATTAATTATTATGGTCTATTCTTATCTAAGAGATTATTAAGGAACTTAAAACTAAATAGGAGAATTATTCATTAATTTGCTTAATTTTTTTGTTAATGAATTCAACTCTTCAATAACTGGAATAGGTCTTTTAGCTGATATCTAAAATCCATCTTCAAGGTATTATTATCGAATGAATTATAGCTACTTTTTTAATCTATAAGATTATTGTTTACCATAATTACCAATAACGATTTTTAATCCTTTCAATAGAAAGCTTTTAACTAATTCTTGCATTCATATTGACAAAATTTTTGATTTTTTCAAAGTGGCTATAAATCAACTAGATTAAAAAAAAGAATTCTTTTGCAATTATGTAATTTTAGGAAAGAAAAAGCAATAAAAACTTAATAAAACCTTGGGAAACTTTATAATTAAATTAATAGAATCAATTAAGTGAATTTAATATTGAATATTGTATATAGATTTTATATTAGTTTTACTTAAGATAAAAGCCATTCAAAATAAATCTTATATAATATTTAAATAAAATGTATAAACTAATTTTCAAATTAATTGATTCAACTTGAATGACATTATATTATATTA